GTAAGTTGGAAACTTTTTGAACCCTATCCAAAGTTTTTTGAATACCACATAGACCAATTTTGCAGTTTTGTCAAATATTAAACTATAAATGAGAAAACTAATTTTTCTTTTGTTATATATGTGGGCCGACATTAGTATTGCAACTCTAGGTAAACTTGAATTAAAATAGTATCAACTAAAAGGTATACAAACTGCAACTTTCTTGAAACCGAAAAAAGGGTAAAAATGTAAAACATGTGATATATATATACTTTTTCTCCGGTCATATAATATCCTTACCGAACATAACCCCTGAATGTGTGAAAAAAAATTGAAATTGGTTATTTTTCACCGAAAATAATTGTTTACGCTAAAATTTCGATTATTTTATAAAACGGTGATATAACATAATAGCCATTAGGCGATACAGAGTTGTTTGGCATCACCTCGGAAGTGGCTGAGTTAGACTCGGCGCACACTATGCGTATGTTGACTCAGCATGCCGAAGAATAAATTTTGTTTTTTTTCTTTTGTTTTTTTACTATTTGCCAATAAAATATTGTATTTTTCAAAAAATAACTTTTTTTTAATTTCAAAATTTAAACCTCTTATTCACTAATATAAAAACTAACAACATTCTTTATTTTCCATCACCTTCAAACATTCTTTATTCATGTCTACCAAACATTCAACACTATTAAATCTTTCTCAAATTCATATCTCAAAATGGCTTGTCTATGGACCACACTATTAAATCTTTCTCAAATTCATATCTTAAAATGGCTTGTCTATGGACCACAACGGAAGAAGTAGTTTCCATTCATGCATGAGTCGATATAAATGATGATCCAAATAGCAACTGCTATGTAACTAGGTCTTCTTTTTGGAACAAAATCACCAAACGATTCAACGATGAGATAGGTCAAGATCGCCACTGAAGATCGAATTAAAGATCAACTCTTCACCAAATGGAGAAACACAAACAAATTGGTAGGCCTTACAATCGGATTAGGTTTGGGTTGACGGGTTACAGGTTGACGGGTCAGAAAACATAAACACAATTCAACCAGTATAATATATGGGTTGGTGGGTTGGAAACTTAAATCCAACCCAATCCATATAACATGTTTTAAGTATATGAGTTCACGGGTTCACAAGTTAATGGGTCGAACCCAACCTATATAACATGTTTAATAAATAAGCAACGTGTTTTTTAAAATGAGGTTTTTTTCAACATAAAATCATAAGATTATT